CAATTTCACATCTATAACAACAATATTGCTTTTGAACACGATGTAATACACTTTATGTAACAGATGTTGTGGCGACTTTTTGGCAGCTCACAAAACATTTCTGATTGGCTTGACTATTGGTGCATTATTAGCTGCAGTAGGTTTAGCAACTATTACTTCAATGTGGTTGATTTCGAACTATACGACGACGACAACAGCAATATCAAATAGTGATACAAGTAAGTGTAGGTGATAAATGAATACAGATTCAACGATCTTCTCATGACATATTATGTTGTGATAAAGATTTCAGCCATGTCTTCTCTGAGCGAGCATTACGGCGACCAGAAACGGCCGTATCTTCACCGTATACGACCACACCTATTTCAGCATCCAAAAGAACAACTGACTCTTTTCAGACAATTTTAAGACTCTTTGCACTCAAAGAAAAAGATTCAATTGAGACTTTTTTAAGGCTTTACATCCAGAGAAAAAGACTGCCTCGAGACTTTTTCAGACTATTTGTGCTCTGAGAGAAAGCTCCTTATAAGACTCTCAAATAATCTCAAAAAGTGTTTTTCTCAGGACGGAAAAAGTCTGAATTCAGTCTCAATTGAGTCATTTTGAGACTAGGGGTGGGTGTGGGTGTGGGTGTGGGTGGGTGTGGGTGTGTGGGTGTGGGTGTGTGGGGTGTAGTGTGGGTGCGGGGGTGTGGGTGTGGGTGTGAGTGTTTGTGTGAGTGTGGGTGTGGGTTCATGCCTTCTTATAACCCACACCCACCCACACTCACCCACACCCACACCCCACACTCACACCCACACCCCCGCACCCACACCACACCCCACACCCCACACCCACACCTCACACCCCACACCCACACCCCATACCCGTTTTTGTCAGAACATGGTTTCCAATCAGAAAAATTGGAACTCCTCCCACCTATCTCGAGCTATAACCAATGTTTTGTTGTTGTCTTAAAGGTCTCAACGAGAGTAAACTTTTCATCAACCAGTTTTTTCAAAGTCGATTCCTGGGCTGAGAAAAGTGGAATTTATTGTCGTCGGATCACAGTTTTTTATGCTTGTTTTAAGACATGTCTACTAAAATATTCATAAAAATGAACAATAAGGAATTTAAAAATTCTGTTCGATGAAAAGCTGTGTATTGACATTAGCTTTAATTTGAAACCACCCCGAGCTCTATACCTCGTGTTACGACGAAGTTATGTCGATTCTCCTGAAGGTCAAAAATGATCTGTGAATCAGCTGGAAATCCGGTTTAGTACGACCAATTGAGCTGAAATTTTTACCAGAAGCATATCTCTCCAGGATCACTCATCCCTGAAAATTTCAGCACAAAAGGACCATTCTAAGTGGAAAATCGTTTCTGAGTGGGGGGGGGGGCTTATTTATTTCCAATCCAAAGCAATCGGAATGCTCTGACCCCATTCGTCGTTTGCCGGGTATTTACATGGAAATAGCAAATTGATTGTTAAATATTTGAGTTGAGGAGCGTATCCGAAGAGTTCACACATGTCCTCTACAGAACACTCAACAATAGTCAATTTCGTGATTGACAGGTATTTATCGGCAAGTCGTACAACATCCGATGAGGTTTGGATAGTAGACGCCGGCAATGAAGTCAGTGGTTGATCGAGGCTCTTCTTCCATTCAGACCAATGTAGCTCATCCTTCCAATCAGACCAATCATACTCATTCTTCCAGCTAGACCAATCGAAGCAACGCAGATTCGATAAGAATAGGAGCATCGGTAAGATTGTTTTCACGTTCCGGCCACTCAAATAAATCAATTTCAAGGATTGAAGGTTAGTGAATTCCTTGAGGGAAAAACGCGACAACAATGTTCGAGTGGCATCAGATGAAATCCGTCCCGATAGTCTTATCACGATCACTTGATCTTTGATTTGTGAATTTGCGAGCATCTTCTGATAGAAATTATTCAATGCGACTTGTCTGAAAAATTCCAAATCGAGACACAATGGAAGATTTCGAATGATTTTGTCCAACCGAGAAATCAAGCAATAAAAAGCATAGAGTAGATCTGGCGCATTGAGATATTCGAAGCATTGAAGGAGAACTTCGTTCAGTACAAATTCGAATCTCATTTTGGTTTCAATGTCACTCATGATAAAACATGTCGACAGTTTCTTCTTCGATTTATGAATGAGATATCAAGTAAACAATCATTCGACGTCAATAGATTGATGTGTCCGTTGGTTCTTTCAAAGAATAAATAATTCGTTTGTTATCTATCTTCTTGACTCACTCGGAAAAAGTCCAGAGTATCAAAGAATTTCATTAAATAGTGCAAGAGCCTCTCTGCTGGTCAAAATACGCAAGATACATATGAAGTGAATCCATATCTTCTGCTGTGAGATCATAACCAATCAGATGACCTTCCATGTCTTACCTTCTCCCGTCCTACGTTTCTGTTTTTGATTGACGATTGAAATCAGCTGTCAAAAGTCATTTCATGTTCGTGGTTTTGTCTTTGAATTGATCGAAACGGTGTATGAGCAGAAATGTCCTTATGTGAACTTCATCTTCGAGTCGATTCGAATACAACAGATATTTCCCTCTCGAGCAGTACTATGTCAGACTCATTATGTCTGTGGATCCACTACTGGTTCGTCGTAATGGAAGAAAAACAAACGGAAATTGAACGACAGTGAAGAAGCTCGATCAACAACTGCATCTCTGTGGACATGTTTCAAACCGTTCGTATCCGATTTGATCCTGCAACGATGTCGTCAAACGAATCGTCAATCTCGTCTCTATTCTGGTCTGAACATTCGTACTCCAATGAAAATCATTTTTATTTTTTTCTAATTTTTAACAAACAAACAAAAACAACATATTTGAGAATGTCTCGATTGTGTTCCTTTCGAAACAGAATTCGAGAAACGACAAAATATCGAATGAAAAAAGAAACTAATCTTCCAAGTTATATTATTCAACAGATACGCGAAAAAGAAAAACATTGTCTGTTTATGTGCAACAACATCATTTGTTCACAAGCGAGAAATCTCAAATATATCTGTATGCCACCGCGATCTCTATCATTTCTCATAATCCATTAGTTGATTTAAAAAAATGAGAACAGGGGTTATATTTACAAAAATTTATATTTAAAAAACAAATTCAATTTTTAATTAATTAACACATAAATATCACTCCTGGAGGCAGTGAATTTATTTTAAATTTAATTAAATATAAATTTCGCCCAATTCAAATTTAAAATAAATTTAATTTTGGCGAAGAAAATTTTTTTATTGTCTAAGATTTAATAAATTTGTCGTAAATATAAATAGACACCCCTATGAGAGAATCTTTTACTATGTGATTTATTGATATTAGCATGTAAAGTAATTGTTTTTATATACACAGAAAAAATTTAAGAGTTCAATTGTTTTCTTCAATTTACCACCATAAATGTATTGCACTGTTTTCATATTCAATGGAATAATTTTCGAGAAGTATTTCACGACGAATAATTTCATTGATTGTCTCTTTGTTCGTGTTCAGAATGCGTAATGAGAAGAGATTCGAATCTTTGTTTGATAATAAAAATTTCAGAATTGATTCCAATGAAGTTTCACTAATACCAATTGTCAAATGTTGTAAACGAGGACAAAGATTAACAAAAAACTTAAGATGTTCAAGTGTACAACCATGTTCGATGTTCAATTCAGTAATTTTATTTTTCATTGATATTTGATGAAACATATCCGTTTGTTCAATAGATAAAGAATGAAAATCGAGAAAAAACATTTGAGCAAATGTTAACGAATGAATATTTGATGTAAATGTTAGAAGTTCAATGAGTTGATCAATACGAAGTTCTTGTTCGTCCATCAATAAATATTTGAGTTTTGATAATGAAATAATACGATTAATATCACGAATAAATTGACCATTCTCATCTAGAAAGTTAGCATTGAGAGTAAGTTTGGTGATGTTTGGAAAGTGACTTGAACATGTAATCGTGTTCATTTGTTGTCGAATGGTAAGATGAGAAGCCGAATGGATTTCAATATCTTCATCATCGATACATTCAATCAATTCATAATATTTTCTTCTAAATTATTATAAAAAAATTTCACACTTGTTTTTTCTTCTTCTTCATCTTTACCTGTATGGATGAGTCGAATAGAAGACTATTGGAAACGACTCGTCATCATCATTATCTGGCCAATATTGATATTCAAAGCACCAATTTCGATTTGACCAAAATGTCGAGATAAATTGATCGATTGGTACGAAATTCAAATTCTCATCATTGATGGGATACTCAGGTGACATGTTATATTGAAAATCAAATATACGTAAATGAGGTATATGATTTAAAATTAATTGTTCCCAACGATCCGAAGAGAAAAATGTTCCATTGCATGATACCGTCAAACGTAAGAATATCAATTGACGAGACATTTGTATTAAAAATATTTCGAACTCATCGAATGAAAGCTGGTAAAAATCGACAGTAAGATGTGTCAAATGAAGGAGTACTGCGGGTCCATCAGCGATGTTACTACAAAGTGCCGATGCAATT